CCGACTGACAAATCCGACAAACAACGAACACGACAACGTAGACTTGACAAAACGACACGCTGTATTCCACAAACGTGAGACCGACAGACTCAGCGACGGACAGATCATAAAATCAAGAAACTGAGACACGGACGGACAAATCGGCAGACGGGAGAGACTGACAACTCGAGAGAGATCATGAGATCGACAGATTGACAGACCGACTCATCGGCAACCTCCCCGATAGACTGATTGATTGAAAGATTGATAGGCTGATAGACCGACGGACCTTCTTTCGACCGCATGACGGATAGATTGATAAACTGAAAGACCGACGACCAGACGGACACACAGACTTCAGAGAACATTAGGATCGACAGAATGAGAAACCGACAGGTTCGGCAGAAGATAGACGGTCAGACAAAAAACTGAGACAGACTCATAGACCGACAGAAAGCCAGACTGACAAAGCGACAGACCACCAGAACGACGGACCGAAACACGGAGAGATTGAGAGACCGGCACCCTGACTGATTGACTGTCATTCCGATGCGCAGAATGTTCATCAGAGGTCCAGGGGGGGAGGTCCAAAGTCTTCGAGAATTGAGGCCGTCCACGGATCTTTAAGAAGTCCAAAAAAGTGGGGAGCGCGACCTACGCCAACGACCGAGCCGCTGCAGAGACAGCCAGAGAGAGATAAATGAGGCGCAGAAGGGGGCGAGACCAAAAATCTCCGAGATTTTTGATCGCATCCTCCGGACCAAAAATCTCAAAGATTTTAGATCCTCTAGCTTTTCCGAAGGCCCCTCGGGAGCCCGCAGGAGGCATCTTAAAGGAGAGCTGGAAAAGCTAGGCCCCGTGCGAACGACATGGCCGCAAGTGGCCGCACCATCTTATTGAGGTATATTAGATGTATTGAAGAATTTCGTACATTGCTGCTCTATTTTGTGTGCAAATCATGTCAATAATCTCACAGCCAGGTCGCTGGCCTCTCCTGGTGTAGTACAAGAGAACGTGCATCGCTGTGCCACTCCTGGACAAACACGGGGATCAGCGCCCTTCTTTCTTGATGAGACAGTTGTTGGTGGGTTNNCAGGCGGCCATGCAGCTGCTGACCCCCACGGGCATTTCTCAAACGTGCCATCTGCTATCTTCGCATCTTTGTCCTTGGGATCGATGTGGACATAGCAACCTCCGTAATGCTGGGTAAATCCACGGCAGGAAGGAATCGAGTCGCACAAGTCCATGCATCCCTCTGTCTCGCCCGAACAGCGATCTTTCTTACAGGGCCCATCTGGATTTGCTTTGGGAAAGCACATCATGGGTCGCTTCCCATCCGCACCGACGCATGGCCCACCGACGTCACCGGTACTGCCGAAGTAGTGATTTCCCTTTTTGCTGGTTTTCGTGATAGCA